ATATGTGTGTATATATATATATATATATATATATATATATATATATATATATGGGTGGGCGTGTGTAAGATAAGATAAAGAACAAATAGGAAACGTTTTTTAATCAAACTTGTTTCACTTTTATCAAAGCTTCACCAGAAATGAAATATAGGAGTGAAAGATCAAATATTATAATCCATATTTGATCTATATTTGATCTCAATATATATATATATATATATATATATATATATATATATATATATATATATATATATATATATTAGGAAATTAAATGAGATAATCTAAATATAAAAATTGTTATTTTACACTATAAAACTCTAAACTATATATATATATATAGGTTGCGATGGGGAATTTGTTGACATTTTATATTTTAATTTCGCGTTGCTTGTTTTTGATGTACTCGATTGCCTAGTATAGTAGGGTCAGTTGAACACCATCTGTGGGAAAAAGAGCACCATAACACAATTCAGTGCGTCAAAAATTTGGAAACGATATGCTGTACAGCTTGTCATTCGCATCGGACGCTCCAATACAAACATTTCAGTGTATTTGGGTGTCAACCTGAGAACAGTGCAAATTATTCGGGTGATATATCCAGTCAACATCATGGTGTTTGAAGTGATCGCTACTGATGGCGACGTTATGCTTCCATTCATTTTCCACAGGGCCTCAAACTCAACACGTGGGCCTACGTGAACTAACTTAAGCAGGTACTGCTGCTCTGAGTGAAAAGTGTGGCTACTGGAAAACCCTATATCTGTCAACAGGATTCTGCACCGTGTTACACAAGCAGGGGAACCCAGTAATGGCTGTTAGACGATTTCTGCGACGACATCACCTCTTACATCTGAACACCTAAATCCCCAGACTACGACCTCCTCGATTAATTTTTTCTGGGACACAGTTGAGCAAGAAGCCAATAGCATAACACCGAAGATGAACTGAAGGCAAGGATTATAGCAGCATTCACGAACTTAAACATGGAGACTGTTCAGAAGAGTTGCAGGAGATTCCGAAGTAGTCTGGAGGTCCTGGCTGAAGCCAATGGCGATTTTATTCAACTAATTTAGTCTTTAGTATTCCAAGATATTTTTGTTTAATTCTGGTAAATATATCTGTTAAAATTCGGTGTCAGTGTTATTTTCATTTTTGCGTAATATAGACGACAATTTATCCATCACACCTGTATATATATATATATATATATATATATATATATATATATATATATATATATATAATTATTTATTTATTTAAAATATGATTGCAACACGTTACGCTACATATTTTTTAAATAAATAATATATCTATGCTCTACTTTTGTATCGAGCACTATTTTTTAAAAATAATAACAAAAATACTAAAGAACTTTGGATTATTTATCTAACGAGTTCTTTCCTATTTTCTATATATTTTTCATAATATATATATATATATATATATATATATATATATATATATATATATAGAGAGAGAGAGAGAGAGAGAGAGTATTAAATAAATGACAACACGGAAAACTGTTCGAACACGTTTCGTTCAGAATATTAAGTATTCAGACAATGGTCGTATTTATGAAATTAATACAATATATACGAAAAGAAAAAAAATAAATAAAAACTACGAAAATTGGCCTCAAAAGTCATTGAAGGGGTAGAGACTCTGAAACTGTTATATTTAAGTTCTTACGTCCAGTGTATATAAACTTTAAATTTAACTCATCTCAATATCTGTCTATATAACATCAGGACAAACTTCAACCCGCAAAAGAGGAGAACATGACTAAAGACTGTGTGTACGCCATCCAGTACAGCTGCGGAAAGAAATATAAAGGCGAGACAGGCCGCCCCCTTAAGGCAAGGCTTTAAGAACACCAAAAAGCTACGAGGGGAAGTGGAAAAATCAGTCGTGGCTAACCATATAGGGAGAGAGAAGGAAGATCACCGCTCTCTGTGGGATCAGGTTGAAATCATAAACAAAGAACCTCATTGGAAAATTCTTAACCTTAAAGAATCAGCACATATGCTAGGCCACAAAAATATCCTGAGCCGACCAAGCATAGAAATTAATACAATATGGGAAGCAGTAATAAGTATTGCCAGAGAAAAGCAATAATATCAACGAAAATTGCATATGAGCTCTGGTAAAAAACATGACATGATAACAGCAAAAATTGCAATATGAGCACTGGCAAAAATGGTTGCTGAAGACATTAAGTTTATAAGTCCCAGAAATTCGTACACAGATTTCCTTAAGGACACATAGGACAGTGGATAAAGGCATTAGTTAGATCCAATGACAGGAACCAAAGAGTAGTGTGTTCAGTACACGGTTAAGACAGTGGAGAATTTGGAGAGGGGAATTAACAGGAAATAACTGATAACTGACATCGATGCACGTGGAATTAGAAAAGTCTACACCAGCGAGCGAAATAATGGGTTCAGTTCAACATTCCAACCACCTGAAGAAGGCCGGGTCGTACAACGTCCGAAACGTTGTGATAAATACGGTGAAAAAGATGAGGACAACAGTCCGAATACTGTAAATAATATCTTTTTTGTTGCTATTTTGCTTAATTCTGCCACATTGAATCAATAGTTCTTTTCTGGGGAAATTTACGTTCAGCATTATATAATATATCTTCTTTCTTCACAAAGTACTTTTAATTCAATGTGGAATAATTAAAATCAATAATAACAAAAAGAAAATGATGGAAATTACATCAATATTGGAATATTGTCCTCAGCTTTCTTGTATTTATCTGAACTTTTCGGTCATTTGCATACATCAAATGTCACAAATTTAAAATTTATGCATCTTTGTATCTTTTCTGTTGGCATGAAAAGTGTAGGTGCTGTTTTTAGTTTGTTTTTTTTTTCCTTTATGCATTGGGTTGATTCCGTCAATAAATCTGTTATATTTGTTTGAACACGTTCTTTTCGGAATGAAACAATCTTTTAGGAACGGAACAATCTCAACACTGTTTTCTTTGTGTCAATTACAGGGTTTTTGTCCAAAGTGTGAAGATAAAGTCTTTTAATCGATCCTTTTTTTCTGACTTGTTCTGATTATTATTTCTTTTCAGAATAATGACAAACATTATGCTCAGCAAATGAAAATGCATTCTGTAATTGTTCCCTTATAGACAGGGTACAGTAATTTCGAGATTTCTAGCTTCCTGGAACTTGCACCGTCGTCTGTTATTGAAGTTTGTAAAGAGCTTGAAGAAGTTGACGGAGATTCTACTGCAGTAGCCAAACGCCAAAACGCCAGCTAAGTGTCCTAATACCTTATTTACATTATTCGGACTATTGTCCTCATTTTTCTCGCCATATTTATTATCACGTTTCGGCCCTTCAGTATCTGTCAATATTACTGAGATGAGGTATTATGTATACTATTTATATTATTCGGACTATTGTCCTCATCTTTGTCGCCATTTTTCTTACAACGTTTCGGCCGTTGTACGCTCCGGCATTTTCAGGTTGTTGGAATGTCGAAATGAACCCTTTATTTCTCTCGCTGGGGTAGACTGTTCTAGTTCCACATGCCATGTTTAATGGATGTCAGTTATCAATTATCTCCTGCTAAGTTCCTCGTTATGTACCCCAAAACCTTCAAATATCTCTTTCTGATTCTAAATATAAGTTTCCGTGTTATTCTCACTTTCTTGAAATATCCTTGTTGTTCCGTTCATTATATTCTCAGCTTCCTTCTGTAGATCCATATTCAAGTTTACTTTTCATTTGTGACGAAATTGTCGAATATTCACTAGGATAATTCAGTTATATCTACTTTATTTCTTAGGATTATTTTTAACAAGAAACTTTTAATAAAAATACGTTGGAAACCTTTTCACATAGTGCGTATGTGTGTGTGTGTGTGTTTGACACTCTGTGTGTGTCAGTGTGTCGGTAATATTATGTAGGTTTTATCTTTATCTCCAGGAAAATATTCCTTTGATGTGAACTTCGACAAACTTTCCGCTCGCAGCCACGTGTCGTTGCATCAATAGAGACATTCCTTTCACCTCAATAAAAAATGGGATTTCAATCAAAATAAAAGAATCTCTGTATCCAACGCTTTCCCATATTTTGGTAATAATGTATTTGTTGTTCAACATCAGCCGAATTATTAAATAAGAAAAAAAAAGTCATAAGAATTGACTCTATTTGTTTTAATTCTGCGTGCCTATTTAAATAATTGCCGTTATCTTAGCTCTACGCTTATTTTGCCTGCTCTTGGAGGGAAACAAATTATAAGGTTGTTCAGAAAATAATGTCCACCATTGGGGTCATTCATTAGCGCTTTCTGGAAGCAAGCCAGTATATCACTGCTGAAGTAAATGGATGAAATGTCCATTCAGTTAAGTGAAATGTGACCGGCGGTGGTTAATCGACGAGATCCAATTCTGCTTCATGACAATACTCGGCTATATGCTGCCAGAGTGACACCGTGAAACCTCGTCGCCTTGGGGTACATGACTGATATGGCACTGAACCTGGTTAGACTAAAAGCGGTGGCAACAATATAGTGCACATACATTTTTATCCTAAGGGTTCCTAAATGGTGACCATGTGTCAGTCTAAGACTCAGATTAACCTAATGGACTTATCTCAAGAATGAAATAGGTGACTATCTCGTCTGTGGTTTCAGAGTACCATGCCTGAGATAAAGTTTTTGTTATGTTTTGTTTTACGGTATATTGACCCTTTGGGTTATTTAATGTAGAAATTTAATGATTTTCACGTATAAACTGATATCAAATCAAAACTATGAATTAGAATGATGATTTTCAAAACTGCCCAATTCCCAACCAATTGAAAATTTAAAGCAATTAAAATGCACCCGTTTGATTTTCTTTCTTTCTGCTATCCAATGTGTTCATTTAATATTTCTATCCGACTCACTCATTTTCTCTATATTCAAACACTTATTTTCTCGCAAGCCATTTCCTTTTACATTATCTCTTTAACCTTGCTTTTCTTTTCCTTTAGCACGATTCTATCCTCATTTGCATTCTAACCACTTACACCTTCTCTACTCTTACCATTACTCATATATTTTCACTCTTCTTACAACCCACTCTTTCTCTCTCTACCCTCTTTTTCTCTCTATTTTCATTTTTCTCTATCCTCTTTTTTCTCTATTCTCACTTTCTCTCAACTTTCTTTTTCTCTCTACCCCCATTTTCTCTCTACCACCCACTTTCTTTCTGTCGTCTTTTTCTCTTTACCCTAACTTTCTTTCTGTCCTCTTTTCTCCTTACCCTCTTTGTCTCTCTATCCTCACTTTCTATCTATCCTCTTTTTCTCTCTACTCTCACTTTCTCTCTACTTTCTTTTTCTATCTATCTTCATTTTCTCTTTACCCCCACTTTCTCTCTATCCTCTTTTTCTCTTTACACTCACTTTCTCTCTACCCTCTTTTCTCTCTACTCTCATTTTCATTCTACCCTCTTTTTCTCTCTACCCTCTTTTTTTCTCTAAGCAAACTTTTCTCTTTGGCGTTTCTTTATAAATGATCTTTCTACCTCATTTCTCCACCATTTTCTCTCGACACTGCACACCATCTTATTTTTACCATATTCCTCCCTTGTTTCCACAGTATCTATATTCTTCCCTCATTTACTCTCTACCCCCTTTTCTCTCACTTTCTCTCTACACCACTTCCCCTCTCATTTCCTCGCTATCCTTTCCTCCCTCATTATCTTTCTACATCATTTCCCCTCTCATTTCTCCTCTATCCTTTCCTCCCTCATTATCTTTCTACATCATTTCCCCTCTCATTTCTCCTCTATCCTTTCCTCCCTCATTATCTTTCTACATCATTTCCCCTCTCATTTCTCCTATACCCTTTCCTCCCTCATTATCTTTTTACACCACTTTCCCTTTCATTTCTCTTCTGTCCAATCCTCCCTCATTATCTTTCTACACCATTTCCCCCCTCATTTCTCCTCTATCCTTTCCTCCCTCATTATCTTTCTACATCATTTCCCCTCTCATTTCTCCTCTACCCATTCCTCCCTCATTATCTTTTACACCATTTCCCCCCTCATTTCTTCTCTATCCTTTACTCCCTCATTATCTCTCTACACTACTTCCCCTCTCATTTCTTCTATACCCTTTCCTCCCTCATTATCTTTCTACACCATTTCCCCCCTCATTTCTTTTCTATCCTTTTCTCCCAAATTATCTCTCTAACCCTATTCCTCTCCTATTTTGTGACTACACCGATTCCTTCCTCAATTAACTCTTTCCATTCCTTCTTCATTTTTCTTTCTATCCTTTGTCACTCTTCATTTTCTCTCTACCCCTATCTGTTCCTCTTTTTCTCCTCTTTGTTTGTATTCTTCGCTTATATATTCTGTACACGCTTCCATCCTAATTCTATTGGTTACCCCAATTCTTATTCTCCTATGTTCCGTGTCCTTTCAGGGCGTATGCGATCATGGATCTCCACAATTTCCTGTCCTTTGTAGCTTTTAATAAATTTTCTCGTTTTTCTATCTCTTCTAAACCTTGTTCCGTTCCCTAAGTAAGTTATACGTTGTTTTCCTCTATCTGTCTGGCTTTCAATCTGTCCTGTGAGTATCAGATTTTCCAAACCCTCTTTCCTCATTATGTGCCCTGGAAATATCTACTGTCTCTTCATGGTGTTAAATATAAGTGCCCTTTTTATTTCCATTTAATCTAAAATCATTGCTCAAATGTTCGATCCATAGTATCCTCAGTATCCTTCTGTAGTACCACAGTTCTGCTGCTTAAAGTCACCTCTTCATCTATCAGAAAATTGTCCAGCATTCACAGGTGGACTACCCCAATTCTTTCCATATTTTATTCCTTTTTCCAACTTCACATACTCTCTATCTCAATTTATCACTCATTCCCCCTCTCCCACACTCTGTTATTCTCTCTTTACTCTCGTTCCTCCCTCAATATATCTGTTCCCTTTGCTCCACCTTCTTACTGATTTATTCCCTCCACATCTCCCCTTCCTCAGGATCTCTCTAGCCCCTTCCTTCTTCATTTTCTATTTACACCCTCCCTCTTTAATTATCGCTCATCCCCCATTCATCAGTCATTTTCTCACTCTCTCTCTTTTATAACCTCCTACTTTCCCCCCTAATCTTGGTCTCTCTGCACATTTTCTCCTCCCTTCTACCCTCTCCTCCTCTTTCATATTCTCTTCGCCCCCATTCCTCTCTCATTTATCTCTATAGCTCCTTTCTACCCAATTTGCGCTCTACCCTCTCCTCCTCCTTATTCTCTATACCTAACTTTCTCCCTAATTTTCTTACCAGCCTTTTCGCCACCACATTTTCTCTCTAACTCATGACCTCCCTCATTTTCACTCGACTACCCTTCCATCCTAATCTCCAATTCCTTCCTCATTTTCTATGTATTTTCTCTCTTCCTCATTTTCTCTTAACCCCTCCCTACCTCATTTTTTCTTCCTCCTTCCCTTCTCTCTCGTTTTCTCTCTACCCCCATACCTCCCTCATGCTATTTCTCGTATTGTCTAAAGACAAATTTAGTAAATGTCATTTTTAGTCCTTCTTTTTAATGTTATTCCTGAACGAAAGGCAAACAAAGTAATTTAAATGTTTATTGAAAGACAGCAAGTAACAAAAATTCTCAGAACCAACTTCGGGAAAAGAAGGTTCTTTTCTGAAATTGGAGCTACTTAAGTAGACTGGTCCATACGTAAACAAATAGGGAAACATTTATTTGGAAATAATTTTTTTCGTTTTCATTTTTTTATACCTTCCTTAAGCTGCGACATTTTTTCAAACTCAAAAAATACTGATTTGTCACCATTTTAGAAGAGGGGCCTGTTTATAATATTGTTAGTATGTAAAATTGATCCCTGACTTTTTTGAACCTATATATTTATTACAAATGTCAATTATGAAAATGGGATTACGTCATAGATAAACTGACTTTTTTATTTTTAAAAAAAAGATTTCTTTCAATTTTTTTTTTTTACAGTAAGGTTTACACTGTCCAAGGCCTGCGGACCACCCGTGAAGATGATTGTTAAACCTATACTTGAACTGGTTAAGATTGTAGTGATTGGGGAAACACCCTCTTGGGAGTCGGTTCCACAAAGCAGTGCTTCGCGGGAAGATCTTCGAGTGGAACTTACTTCCCGACGATGGAATACGGATTGAAAGTGGGTGGTTTGGCAAGAGAATGTAATTCTTGCGAGCACTTTCCGTAGAAGTCCCAATAGAGCAGAAATAAATAATACATTTTTATATTTTGTATTTTAAGAAAATATTTTTAAAAAGTAATTCTTTGGTCGAAACAGATTTTTTTGCAACAAGTTTTTTTCATGGAAGAACAGATGCATACATTTTAGAAAAATACATTTTTTTAAATTAAAGAAAAAATTTATATAAACTCCTTGATAGTGTATTTTTTTTTTAATTTCTCATATTCTGTAACACTATTGTGTCTGAGTAGTTTTATAGCCTTACTTAGGGTGAAACGGAGGAGCTGCATTCGCTGGTTCCCAGACGTCATGAGTTCAAACGCCCTACGAGGCTGGCATCCCGCTCTCACCCTTTCACTGTCGAAACTACTAAATGTAGCCGTCTCTTCTATTCCAATAACTTCATGTCTCGCACCTCTCGCCTGTGGAACTCCCTTCCCTTTTCCTGTTTCCCTGAGAGCTATAATCTCCAAATATTCAAGTGTAATGTCAATCGACATCTCCTCTTGATCTATCCACTATTCTTCTCCTCCTCCTTTCCTCTACCACTCCTATCTGATCTTGCTCCAAATCTTCTGTAACCCCCTTGCGTCCTAGTGGCTTCCCACCTTGCTTGGGGTGAAAGGCTTAAAAAAAATGCAGATATTAATAACATAAGTACATTTTCAAAGCACATTTGTAAATAAAAACTTAGTACGAATAACACTGTAAAAGCCAATGATTCGATTTGACACTACATTGATATTAGGAACTGATCCACACCAGATAAATATGACTTGCTTGAGGAAATGCAAAAGAATCGTAATTTACAAAAATTACTCCCGGAAATTTTTTTTCCTATATTTTAAAAGTAGACAAGTTTATTTATACATCGCTAAAGATGCAGGGTAAAATGATCGGCTCCCTCTACTGATCCAATAAAGGAACAGTAGAAACAAAATGGAGTACTGTTGCCATATTTGGGCGAGAGCTGCCCAGACCTCCCTTTTTCAGTCTGATAGAGTCTAATAGCTTCTCGTTGTTGGAGAAGAATTATTTTCCACCCTCTAACGTCCCTCTCGCAGCCGGGATGTGGTGAGTCTCTCACTGCTCTGTCGCTACTGCCATCAAAAGTGCTGGGACGAACTACATTCTTTAGTTCCGCCAAGTATAACCTTAACGGCCAGGACCCACCATGCCACTTACATATTAGCAAACCACTAACATTCCCTCCGTATTCCATCGACCAGAAATAAGTTCCACTCAAACAGCTTCTTCCCACGAACCACTACCCTGTGGAACAAACACCCAAGAAGATGATTCTCTGATCACTACAAGCTTAACATGTTCAAGTCTAGAGTCAAGCGTTATCTTCTTCACCTATTCATATCAACTACCCCTCAACGTAAATGTCTACCTCGAGTGGCCTACAGGCCTTGTACAGAATGAAACTTATTGTTAAAAAAAGAAAAGATTTCTGTGAATTTTCCATTAAAAACATATCTATACCATAATTATTAAAGTCTATCACGGCTGAAAATTAATGATTGGATGGCTCCAGATCGAATCTGACAGAAATGGGACATTGCTAAACTCAATCCATCTAATCCTCTTTCTTCAGCCATTATGAGATTCAAAAGTTTTTACACGTCTTTGTGGGTGAGGAATTTCTTTCCGTCCTATAATTCCTTTCTTATTGACGAACCGTTGCTAGCATCTCATTATTTTGTCACTATATTTATTGGTTTTATCAGTGCACAACTTCACAGTAAGCTCCCACTTACCATAATCTCTCTAGCCCTATTCACCAATCAATATTGCTTCCTCCCACATTTTCTCCCTACCGCCATTCCAAGCTCATTTTCTTCCTGGCTCATTTCTACCCCCTTTTCGATCTATCCCCACCTCCATATTTCGTCTGTTCCTATTTCTTCCTCATTGTTGATTCTTCCTCATTTCCTTTGTATTCCATTTGTAAAGAGGAAGTTCCACTCAGACGGTTTCTTCTGCAGAGTCATTACGTTGTGGAGCAGAATCCCGAAAGGATGTTTTACCGATCGCAACAATCTTAACATTTTCAACTATAGAGTAAACGTTATCTAGCCTACATATCCTCATGATATGCACATATTACGCCATCAGTCTACGTTCTTACAACAAACTTGTTGTGTAGTAAAGAGTAGACCCCCGGAGACTATAAACTCATCCAATGCTATAAAGAGTTACATAGTGTGAGGTCGAGAGTAGTCGTATTGGAGTCAGTCTTCGTACTAAGTATACAGGCATTACGTATAGAGAATACTTAACGAATTACGTTATACCAAGTACGAATGTATGTTATAACAGTAACTTTACATTAGGGAGTTATGTCAGTTGGCGTCAAGGAACTTGATCAATAGCGCGGCAAAACAAGCGCCACATTATAACTGGAGAAATTATAGTGGGCGACCAAATTTTCGAAACTCATACATTGTTTTAAAAATGAGGTGCTGCTTATAGAATCTTCCACAGAAATCCCTATCCATCAAGCTTAATCTCTATTGAAATTACAGGACGTCATTGAAACCTAAAGAGGCAGCATATTATATTATGCCATTAAATTCCTTGAGGAACATAAGACTGCAAGAAATCATTGCGCATGCTCTAAGCCAGTTTTTTTTTTTTAGTGAGTAGGTTATTAGCCTACTGCACAAGCCCCAGGCTGGATGATCAGGTTTTGAATTCAATGTTTTCCTTCTCCTAGACCAGTTGCCATCCAAGAGCCCGGTCTGTCCTGTTATTAACCCATGGGAGAAAAAGAGGATTCAGACCTTTCCGAGAGGAATTAGCAGATAAGTAATGCAATAGATTCGACTGGAATTCGAACTCGTCTCTCTTGCAGATATGAAGAAAGTTTTGGCTTCAATAGTTGAAATTCAACAACAAAAACAGCAGAAACATTAACAACAGCAACAGAAGCAACAACAACAAAATACACAACAGCCGCAACAGTTGATATATATATATATATATATATATATATATATATATATATATATATATATATATATGATTGGTGTGTACGGAATAATTTCCAATAACCAAACAATCCTATTCTTAAAAGAGTGCTCAATACAGAATACAGCGAACATAATTATTTATTAAAAATTGTAACATAAATATGTTATAAAATCACTACAAAAATAGACATTTTGTTTCAACACCTCTAGTGTCTTATCAATGATGATGTTGAATGTAGATTGTAAAATAAAGGGTTTAAAAGGTTTTTATGTCTTGCGTCATTACTTGTATCTGTATGTATCCAAGATTAAATTTTATATAAAACTACTTTCAGGGTATATGTTATTTATATAAGACTGCCTTCACGCTAGTGGTTTAAAATTCGTTATGAAATATAAAGGCATATCTTGTGTATGTTTGGGTTCCATACGCAAGTTTCCCTATGTTATAAATTCTATATACAAATTAAATAGCCTGTATACCAAATCCGAAAAAATCTGCAAACCGAAGCACTTCCGGTCACCTGAATCTACATGTATATATAAAGCAGAGGTTGTCTGTGAGATATCTTTTCATTCGAGAGCCATTCAACAGATTATGACCAAACTTGGCACATACAATGTACAATGTGAGAGATAGGTTCTTATGCGTAAAAATCGATAATTATTAGAAATCAGTATTTGATAAAACCTATCAAAAATCGATAAATTCAAGTTTTTTTTTTCCTTTCGTTCAAACTCGGTATGTAGGTTACTTACATCATAACGTGATCAACGCCACTTCAAAAAAAGAAAAATCGATTTCAACACTAATTTTAAACTAAAAGCTCCCTTAATTTTCAAGCAATCTAATACAAACTTCACTCAATTGTAGCCAAAAAAGTTGATTGTTTAACAGTCATTTAACCCGCATAAATAGCGGAAAAGCCGCGTAAATAGCGAAAAATGGCGATTTTTGCTGCTTTCTTATTTTTTGTTGATCTTTCAACCAATTGAACTTAACAATTGCTTTATAAATGATCCTCTATTTACACCCCTAGTAGCACACTGACAAATTGAATGTCAAAAACTCCAAAATAATTTTGGTTTGAAGTGGATCTTCATGTTACCTGTCCTCAGCTAACTTTGATTTAATAAACACAGACTACTTTTACTATATCAGTAACTGCATTAATTCTAAATGTTTTTAATAAAAGTACTTGCAAGTATTTGAAGAAGATAGACTCTCTTATATCTAAACATGATGCTGCTTTTGCGCCATTCTAATTGAACGCTTTTTCTGATCGACCAAATGGGTGTGGCTGCTAGTTTCTCTACCTGTATAGAATTATCCCATCGACAAAGCACAAACATTTTTAATATCCTTCTTCGTTTTATCTTCACCTTTCTATCTTAAGGCTCGTCTTTCTTTTTCATTCCTTAGTTCTTTTCCTTTCTCCTTGATTACTTCATTTCCTTCCTTATATTGACCTTTTTTCACTCATTAATTTCTCTATATTTTCTCTTATTTCTTTTCATCTAACTTTTTTTTTTCTTTTTTCTTTTTTTTTTAACTTGCTTACAGACTACTATCGGTTAATGAATGCCAAATGTTTCCTGTACGGAAACAACTATTTTAGCCATTATCATTATCATTAATTTCTGCAACAATTAGTAGTCTTTACATTTCTTTTACTCTTTCAATATCGATCTGTTTCTCTTTGCAGCTTTTGTGACATACACAGAAACATAAAACATTGGATATTTATTATCGGTTTCAGCGCAACTTCTGACCATAAATTATTATAATTAAATTCAAAATTGGAGCACAATTTCCTTTATTCTGAAAATTACAGTATTTAGCGGTATTGCCCAAATAAATATCATGTTCTAATGTGCCGTTTTTGCTGCGTTATAATAATAATTCTAATAAGGTAAGTCAGGAAAAGACATGAAAAGATATTTTTCCAGCAACATAATCTTATAGTTTTGAAAGAACGTAATATATTAACCTTTTATATAAAAGCAACAAGAAACTTTATGTTCGTTTGCATGCATTTGTTTCTATTTTGGCTTTCTAAAAAAGAAACTTCCTTTTCCCTCAATAATTTTATCCTGGAAAGTTAAATGCCTTTGAGAGCAGCCCACGTATCCCGAAATTAGTATGTACGCACCCACTCCATTGCCGAAGATTACTTTACACATACTTCCACATTCATCTTGATGCGAACTACGTTTTACTTCAAAATCTTCAAAAGCGACCGATATCCGGCTGTCATAGAAAGACGCGCCAATTACGTTCTGTTAGTCAATGGTTTTCCCGCGCAACCATATGATTCTCACTTCATAGCTTAACATTTTCCCGCTCACCCTATCTCCGACACTATTTCTTTCTTCTTCTTTCTTTCTTCTTCACTGTAACTGCGTCTTATTAATTCCTCCGCTTTTTCAAAGTGAAGCGGCCGAGCCCCACTACCCCGAACCGATCCAGTCCGAATCAGTTATAAAAATTCCCCAGCCTTATTTCCCAACAGCGATGACCTAGAAATAACAAAAAAAAAGCAGTAGGAAATATAAAGAAAAGAAAAGAGAATACGTTATGTCGGTGTAATAAAAAAAAAGGAGGAAATTCCAGACTGACACACGTGAATGTCAAAGACGTGTAATGCTGGACAAAGACGATTTCTCACCAGGAAAATAATGAAAACATGTGTGAATAATGTGATTAACACACAAAGACATTGAAAACTAGCAGGAGGAATTTCGAAATAATAAAATATTGTTTTGATGAATGCATTTTCCATGACGCAATATCGGTACACACACGGACACACACAAATATATGCATGTAAGTATATGTATATATATATATTAATAATAAATAATAGCTGTGTTATTATGCACCCAGCACAATTTTATTAGCACTAGCACTGAATGTGCGATATTATATATATATATATATATATATATATATATATATATATATATATATATACAAACATATATATATATATATATATATATATATATATATATATATATATATATATATATATATATATATATATATATATATATATATATATATGTATGTATATATAAAACATACACATATATATATATATATACATACATACAGACAGATAGATAGATAGATAGATAGATAGATAGATAGATAGATATAAACCTGCCAAAATAGCTGCTTCTTTTCCGTAGTTTATTGGTGGAACGGCAATTTAGGCAGACAGATTTTTGTCATGAAGTGCCTGATATCAAAAGGTAAGGATAGAGTATTACTAGCATTTATGTGGAGAAACTTGTTATATATATATATATATATATATATATATATATATATATATATATATATATATATATATATATATATATATATATATATATATATATATATATATATATATATATATATATATATATATATATGAAGAAATATAGTCTTAAGGTGTGCTACATTTATGGGATAAAGTGCTCAATATCAGAGATAGAGCGTATGTAAATATAAATATAAAAGTGAACATTGAAGTCAACACTCAGAGGCGACAGGCTGTTTCATGCTGGTCGCAATCGTCTGGTGGCCTGACGATTGCGCCCAGCATGAAACATCGGTAGGATTTTCCTAAATTTAATACAAAAACATTTCACCCATAACCCTTTACTCAATAGAATCTTCAAAAAGAACAACATTAAGATTAGTTACAGCTGCACTTGAACCCTTGGGCAATATATAGCACTGTAATTACGTAACTTTAAACTAATACTTAAGCAATATTTATAGCAATGTTAACAGAAAAGATAAAAAAAAAAGTGTAATTGCCGAAAAGGCATTATCTGTCTAATGAATAACGAATGTATGTATAAAGGAGTCATCTATAACTTTAGCATTAGGAATAGCGGCAAAACCAAAATTTAATTCAGTTCAGCAGCAAATAGCTGGAAAACGTGATTCTATCATCACAAAATGGCC